TTCTCCCTGGTCCTCAATACAAAGCACTCTAGCAAAGGGCCATAATTTTCTGACCAGAGAAAAGCAAGAAAAGCTGCTACTACCAGCATGCCAGGGCACAACAAAGTTAGCAATTTATGTATTAAGTCAGAATGATGCTAACTTCTTTTAAAAAGCTGGAATTCTAAAAGAAATTGTCCCTGGATCCTTAGAATCTCTAATAGAAAGGCATTCTCCTAACATATCCTAGGATAAAAGTCACACTATTATTTGATCTTTCCTCTTAGTAGTGACTTATCACAAACTAAACTGAATAAAATTTCCATCAAAAGTTAGCTCAAATTTTCTTCCAGTCATTTTCACTTCTTAAACCTGACATCTGTAATAAAGAAAAGCATGTCAAAGAGGTCCGTCTGCTATGGGGCTTAAAGGACGTAGAGACAGGGACTTCACAGACAACAAAGAACCAGGCTATTGTTGCATTTATCTTAGAGGAGTTCTGATCGTGCGATGAGCATCTCCGATATTCATTCTTGCCAAATTAATATTCTACATTCTCACTGGTGGAGCCACACAGGGAGAGAATTTCTTTCTTCTCTTTTCTTGTTCCCTCCCTTTGATGATATTAGGTGGTCAGGGAGAAAAAGAAGAGGAGGCTCTCAGACATCACACATAGCGTGTCCAACAGACGCCCTCAGTAGGGGTGCTTCTTGTTCCTACAGCAAGTAAAAGTAATATGTGCATAAGAAAGTAATGCATAAAATATTTAAAGTCAGTAGAAAGCGGATATTTAAATAAAATTTGCGTGTGTTCAATTTGGAGATTCTTCTTTTCACTTCCCACTTGTTTATCTTATACTCAGAGCTGGTGATATTTTTTTCTAAGTCATGAGTTTTCCTATTCTTTCTACTGTAGCCTACTAATAATGACATGTTCAACACTCAATCTGCCCTTTCTTGGTCTTAAAGCAAAGTCTTGGAAAGTGTTCTTAGCTAAGGGGATGTCAGAATGATGGTGAAATGACAGCGCGCTAAAGAACATAAGAAACTTGGAGGAAAATTTAAACCTTAAAAGTTTATGAATTGAAAAGTTCAAAATACTGTCTCATATGTTATCTGATATATATTGAGCTAGCTAAAGTTTACTTAGGACCTATTGATATTTTCCATATCTGTTATTTATCAGTTCATAGCTAGAGGAAAGTAAAATTTATGTGAGATGGGTTTATCTCTCAAGCATACTCTTCAAGTGATGACCTCACACAAGCGAGGATCTGGAAGCAGTTTCACTGCCCCAGGGTTCAGGCAGGAGCATGTCAGGGCTCTTTGCTGGAACTGCACTGGGGTTTCACACCTACACCTTTGCCTTAATCTGTTTTCTGTATAACTCAGAGTGAGCAACTTTCCTGTCTCTGAGTATTGTGTTCTTCATCTGTGCATTACGCATCTGGGATTGGTCTGAGGAATGAGACTGTGTCTTTAACTGTTTGTTGTACGCATACGTAGTAGTTCCCCATACATCTTAGCTACCCTGGAGATCACAAACAGAGCTGGATGTGCAATACAAATAATACAATTAAATACAAATAAATACTAATGGGGAAGCTGAATTCTCCCATCTGGCAGGGGAGAATGGCAAGGGGCAAGAAAAAGAAAACAATTTAACTGTTTCTAACGCAGGAGAGATGGATGGAGGCCAAACCTCTTTAGGAATGTGATTCTTGTTGACGACCTGGGACATAGCATAGATGTCGGGACAGATGATGTTAGCAGCCTGTGGAACACATACCATTTCTGACTCAACTAACGGAGTTTGCCAAGTCTTGGTTACTAAGCTTGGATTATTTTTTTTTACTAAAAATAAACATGCAGAAATTCTATGACATTATGTAGCGATCATGATGACGATGATGACGATGATGATGACAGAATTGTTGAGTCTCTCTCATGCATTGCCCCTTGGTCAAATTCATTTCTCACACTTGAGAATTGTGGGTTTGTCTTTGTCTGTGGACAATGCCAAAACCGTGAAGACTCATAGGAGACGAGAATAGACTTCTGTATTACACGGGCTTTTATGACTGCTTGAATACTTCTTTTCTACTTACAGTGGAGAAAATATCTCTCCTGACTTCACACCCAAAAGTGCTCTATGAACATCTTTAGGCAATGAGGGGTGGGGCAGATGCCATTATTGGCTAACTACAAGCCAAGTGACAAAACTAGGTGTATTCTGAACCTGGAAGAAAACCCTATCAGATCTGACCTTGCTCAGCCCCTAGACATACTACCTGCACATTTTTTCCAGTAGTTAGATAATAACAAATCTCTTTTTCTCAGCATAGTCTATGTTAGAAGCAAGTTTAAAACCCCTAAAGGCTTTGTTTTTTTTTTAATGAACTGCTTAACAATTGCTCAAAAATTTTAATGAATTGTAAATGTGGTCAGTGAGATAATGCATAAAGATAAGTAATTGCAAACAATGTAAACTCTGTGAAGAAACAAGGGAAGCATAACCGAAATACATGAAAAGTTCAGAGGCTAAAGAGAGTCCCATCTTCTGGAGACAAAAGATACTGTGGACAGCAGGTCTGAGGGCAATGGTTGCTGAAATGTATAATTCTTTCGGGCAAGTAGTGGGTTGCATGGTTGACCGGAGAAGAGAGGAAATGAAACAAAGGAGGTGAATCTATTCGAAGGCAGATCAGGCCTTACTAATAGAAAAAGCTAAAAAATTATAATACATGCTCAGTTAGGCTCATTTTGGAAAACTAGAATCAATAAGTTTGTCACTTGAAATCTCAGAGGTGAATGGCAGCAGAAGTGGGAACTCAAGACTTCTGACTGCAGTCTTGGTTTACTGTTTCACAGAAGTGAAATGTTTCTGGACGGGGGGGGGGGGGGGGGGGGAAATTGCTGGTTTGTTCTTGGAGAAAAAAATAGCTTCTGATATTTATATGTAGTTGATAAGAGTGTGTTGGCTGACAATATTGTTTTCTGAAATTAGTATAAATCTTCATAAAATGCCAGTGTTGCTAATTTGGTACAATTACATAAGACAGACTATAGCATTTTAGAGTCCCAAATTCCGCTGTCTTCGAGGCTGCAAAAAGAGCAGTCCATCTCTCCTCACTCAGGACACAAATGAAAATCCAGAAATAAAATGAAACAACTCTGTGATGTGATGAAACAGAATGTGGGATTTACCACATAGAACGAAGTCCTTATGATTGTCCTGGCAGAAATAAATTCATTTAATTAGATATGTGCTGGCGAATGCATGCAACTAGAAAGGATGAAAGCTTCCAACCTGGAAAAAAAGGAAGTTCTGTGTTCCAATGGTGGATTGTGCCTCTGAAGGCAATTCAAATCTCCGACGACTTTCAAATATTTTCAACCATGTCAGACTGGCTTGATTTCCCATTAAAATATTCATGTAAATGATGCTTTAACTTGCACGTGCTAGACCTATCACAGAAAATGCTGAGTCAAAATGAAGCAGCTGTTCCTTCCTTAATGTGTGAGAGAGATGATAGGCCAGGCCTGTTCTGAAAAGGGTAGATCTGAGAAAGGAGTTCCAAGAAACAAAATTTCAGTTAGAACACAACTTTTAACATTCACCCTGGAAAGGAAACTGCTGCACCACAAAATAACTCCTAGAGTGAACCCTTTTCCCAAGATTTTTCCACTTTCATCATTTTAAAACTTCTCTGGGTAGCATATATATTTGTGTCAAATCAAGTGCAATCAGCGATTTAAAGAACTCGGTAGTAATTTGTCTTCTTTCTGTCAAAGAATCTTGCTTCAAAATCTCACAGGAATACATGCTTAGTTACAAAGAGAGGATTTGAATGCATGTTTGATTGGCATGTTCTCTGTATTTAGAGCCCCAAGGGACTGAGAGTAACATTTTCACACAAGCTGAATACAGGACACTTAGTAAGTCTCCAGTCCTTAGGTTGATGGAAGGAAGTACAATGCAACATGCACAGGCCACCTCCCAGAAAAGCAAATCAGGGTAAGCACCAAAGCTGACAAAAAAAAAAAAAAAAAAAAAGCAGCAATGTAGGCCTTTCCACAAGCCATTCCAAAGTCTCACATGCCTATTGCACAGCAGCTGTTTGAGGGCATCACTTTCTATTCCTGTGATTAAGGGAGCCAACCTGGTTGAGCTGAAACGTTGAACAATTTGAATTCTCACCCTTTTTCCTTTTCAATTCCTTTAATCATTCTCCAACTAAATGAAGGGAGAAGAAAGAGTGCTTTTGTCCCTCATCGTGTTTTTGGTTTGTACTATTGCTATTATGTCATTAAAGCTAGAAGCTGATTGGATAATAAAGAAAGAATTATGACTGCAGTTTCATCCCCTCGCCACCACATACAATTAGGTACAGAGCTCCTTCAGTTCTTGGCATTGCTAGCTCTCCCCCAGATTTGAGAGTTAAAAGCTTGAGAAAGGTCAATCCCCACTAGGCAGTAGCCTCCAACAGAGTCCTCAGCACTGAGCAGCATGGTGCCTTTAAGCTTTGGATTTCTTCTGCACTTTGACACTAACACACTAGTGAAAGAGGGAATGCGCTCTCAGGGACACGGGTGGGAACCACCAAACGATCACAAGAAGTGATTCTCGTGCCGTTTCTTAAGGAAAACGTGTTTGAGTGCGTTTGCTCTCTGAGTTCCCCGCTGTGGGATGGCATTGTTTAAAATCAGACACCACCAGCTTCGTGGGACTGAAATGTTTCGTATGTGTTGTTGTTTGCAGTGCATGCCAAGACATTCATGAGCACCAGAGCCAAGCTGGCGAGCTAATTAAATATATATGTGTATGTGTTTAAAACAGCCTAATAAGGAGCATTGGAAATCTTCAAGATGAGCGAATATCTTATAACTTCTTCCGCAGGTGCGAGGATAGCTACAAGCCATGGACTTTCTGTCCTGCTTCTTGTTTGTGGCTTTGTGAAGGGTGCTTTGCTTTAATCTAAAGTGCTGACTTTTTTCCAATATCACTTTCTCTTCTTAAAGCAAAGAGCAAATCGCCTGTAAAATCTACGGAGCGGACAGCAAAGTTGACCCTAAACTCCAAGCACCATTCTGCACCCCTGTACTCTAGTTACCTACACAAGGAACATCAGCTTCCGGAAGCATAAGTGAAGAGGCTATTACACGCTTTATTGATAGTATTTTCTTTGGGAAGTCGCTGATCTTTTATTTGAAGAGAATTAATGTGAAGCGATAGGACATATTCTAATAACAAGATCTGGGTTTTTTTTTTTGTTTGTTTTGTTTTCTTTCAACAAATAAAATCTACATTTCACTAACTGCTCAGGAGTTGGCCTGAAAGTCATCAGTATAGTAGATATTTCCATGGATTCCACCAATTTCCTACGAAGGGACACCTAATCCGAATGAAGCAAACAAAGATAGCAAGCCTAAGACATGCAAACTATCTTCAAACAGCACCCCAGCTGGGGAAACAAAAAAAAAAAAAAAACAAAATGCTGGACACTGCGGATCAACAACACGCAACTTTATTTTACGTAAGGAAGAATCAGAGCAATTTTTTTTTTCGAAAAAAAAAACCAACTTCTTTTTCCCCCGTGGAATTTTTCTTGGAGTTTCCCTTCTTTTCCTTGATTGCCGTTCTTGTTCTGTGGTAGCAAGTGCCAATTATGGCCAATCCTAGTCAATCCTGGGAGGTTTATATTCATACATATTGAGTGTACTATATTTCAATGTATTTTAATTCATTTTAAAATTTCTGTATATGCAAACCTGGCAAATTCTGTAAATTGCTTCTATTATGTGTGATATGACTTCAAGGTAGATAGATACGACCCTCATGCAAGCTGACTTTCTCCATTCTATATGCAAATATATCCATGAGCATATATTAGGCCACGAGCTTCTTTTCCTAAAGCATTATTTTTCTTTTACAACTCACGTATTGTGTGAATTCTGTAGTGTGTTTCTCTGTTCCACTGGTTTGATAGCTACGGTTTGTCTCTGTTGTCCTCTGCTTCCTCCTGGAAAATGCATATTTAAATTGTATATGTCTCTGATAAATGAATTAATTTTGTTGAGTGTGTACCATGTTGGAATTTGCTGCGTTCTTTTATATGTGTGTTTATTGAGGTTTGGGGATCTCGAGTCCGAAGAATGCACATCCTGGTTTTGACAGATCTCTTCATGTTATCAATATTCTGTCTCAGAAAAAAGAATGAGGCCAAGTGGGAAAACTGGAGAAGATATTTTGACTCCTCAGGTTCCTGGAAGAGCATATCACACTCAGACTAAATAACGCTGCTTCCTTTGTTCTTCAAGAATTTTTTAGCTTTGTCATTCTGTTATTTGCTGCTAATTATATTTTAATGTCTACTAATTAAAATTTAAAATGTGATTGTTGGCTGAATAGAATATGCAAATGACTGCAAACCCCATACTAAAGAAGATAGGTGTTCAATCGTCACTCATTAATCATAGTTTTAAATATTCTGTTGTTATTTTTGACTTTATTAATGTTGTTTAGACCCATTTTAAATTAATCTTTCTCTGGCAAAGAAAGATATAACAATTAATAGAGTCCCTCTTACAAAATGGAATAGTTATGGTTTGAGAAAAAACACATCCAGATAGACTTTCAGAGAGATTATTGTATTTCCTTTCAGTATAAATTCAGAACACCATCTGTGTAGGAATTTAAGGTTCGAAATTGAAGCTTGAAGGCCATGAATACCTTTGATTTTTTTTTATGTAAAGGGCTGGACTCTGCCATTCTATCAGCAACGTGTATATTTTCATAACATTCTTGACATTCTCTTTTAAGAAGTATTGTTTTATGCTAAATCTTTCCTTGCCATTTTTTTGTTTCATTTGATTCATTATTTCATTCTAGTGAGAAAAATAAAGGTTTAATTGTGATAGTTTATTAACACACAAATGTATTTTCTTTCAAAGTTAAATATCTGAAAGTTGTTTAGAATGATAGGTAAATATTTCCTGTTAAGTCTCTTTGAGCTTAAAGGATGCCATACATTGAGGCATATATTAATATTCTGATTTAAAGTCAACCATACTTGGAAAAACCATCATGTATTCTATTTTTACTCAATGTCCAATTAATGATGTCAGCCAATTCTACGTAAGCCAAGCTTGTACCCATATCAGCAATGTTCATCATGCTTGTAATAAAAGAGCACATGCTAGTTTGGGAAGAATGCTCACTAGATTCATTGTATCAGTGTCCAAAATAATAAAGACCTGTGTATCACTGTGTGACCAAAGTCCAGCCAGCCCTCCACTTGCATAAAGGAAGATGGCATACTATCTGTTTGTTCTAAACTTAAAAAAGTAAGGCACTTTAAACATTAGAGCAGAAAGTACAGCTGTTAATGAGACCTTGTAAACAGTTGTACTCTGTGTTATATTCATTTGGGACTATATTTTTTATGTAGCCATGATTATGGAAATGTATAGAAATGCAAAAATATCTGGCTTTCTCAACCTTGTCTCCAAGGTTATATAGTATCTTTTATAAGATAGAAAAAGTTGAAATTGCTTACATAAGTTTAAGCTAGAGATTTTATTTCTTAAAGACTTATAGGCCGTTAACAAAACAAAGGAGGCAAATGAAAATCCTCCTGAACCAAATAGGATACTAGAATTCTCTAAAGCAGAGGCTGTAATCGAAGTTAGTAAGGAAGCTTCGTGGAGAACCAGCCCCATTGACAGTCAGCCCTGCATGTCCTTCAGCAGCACCCTATTTGTGCGGTGTTTATGCTGTATTAGGCATAGCAATTAGAGATGATTTAACATGCAGCAGGAGGTGTTTATCATTTTCAAACGCTATGTCACTTTAGCTAAGAGACTCGCGTACCTACAATATTCTGATATCCAATGACAGGCCTGTATAGCCATCTATCTACAGATGCTAGGGGGAGAGCTATATGTGGATGGTTTTTCTGATATTCATTTTATAGACATAGTCCTTGGCATGTATTACTTATAAAAAGTCATTTAGACATGGTTTCCTCACCTGAGACAGAAATACATAAATGATTTTTGGGAGCCTAAGAAGTCCTCATTACTATGTGTTTGAAGTTGTTTACTTTCAAGTTCTCAGAAACAAAATGTGTTCAATATTAGTACACACAGAGACACACAAATTTGGCAAATAAAGTATATATTTTTAAGCCTAGAAAACAATTTAAATTTATTATACATGGATGGAATAATAGGTATAGAGTATCATTTGTTGACTTCTTACAAAAGATGCTAATAAAAAAAAGGAATAGTGAAACATTCCTGTAACCACAAGACTTAGCAGGTTTGAATAGGAAAATCATGAATTCAAGTCTAACCTGTCTACATAGTGAAACCCTGAATCAGTTAAAAAAATCAAAAATATATATATGGTTTAATTTTTTCAAAAATGCACATATATTTTTCCTGTATTAATCTTATATAAGAAATAAATATTAGCAGTCATATTAATTTGCATAAAAAATAATCACAAGGTCAAAGCAATCTTTCTTGAGATAACACATAAATTGATGATTGAATTGAGACTATGAAGCAAAAAGTCACAAGTCTTTTAAGTTTTATACCAAGCAGTTTTATATTTAAAATGGTTCATTAATATAGGGAGTTCTCTGTCATTCAGGAAATGTCAGCCTTGAAGTAGATAAGGTCTTTCCCTGTGTGAAGTGAGAGACAAGAGAAAAGCATTCAAAAGCCAGAAATTGTGCAATGCTGATACATTCTGTGAAGACCCAAGAGGAGGAGAATAAAGGAGAGTGACTAGGAAGTCACGGGAGGTTGCTCTGGGGGTGCAGTTGTGCAATGATAAGAAGCAGAGAATTTGGGAGAAGTATCTTTAGGGAGAGGGAACAGACCATGCCAACCTCCTGAAGCAAACATCAGGTAGAGTTGTCCAAGGGCTAGTCTGTGAACACAGGCCGGCAGAGAAAGAAAGGTGGGGGGAACCTGATGAGAGTCTGAGGCAGGATTTCACAAGGAATCTTCAGAGGGTACTGAACCTAGGTGAACTAACCAAGTGGAGCCAGAGCTTACAGATCTCACTAAGAGGTGTGATTCTGCTCTCAAGAGACAGGCTTTTTCTGTCATCCTAAAGCTTAGTCACAGTTTATCATGTTAACAACACTGAAGTTTCCAAATTGTTTGTATTTGTGTATGAGAGTGTGTGTCTGTGTGTTTGGTTGTGTGTATGATTGTGTGTATGTGGCTGTGGGTGTGTGTATAGTTGTGTATGTATGTGTGTGTGTGGCTATGTGGGTGTGTATGGCTGTGTGTGTGTGTGTGTGTGTGTGTGTGTGTATAGCTGAGTGTTCATGTATGCCTGTTGAAGATAGAGAAGTATGCTCTCTGTGTCATGGTCTGTCATTCTCTACCTTATTCCCTTGAGACATGGTCTCTCTCTGAACCTGCAACCCTTCTGGAAGAGAGCAAACCCCAAGAATCCTCCCATCCCCTGTGTTTACAGCATTCTCAGACACACCAATACTTGTGCAGTATGTGATTTACCCATTGAATCATCACCCTAAAACCAAATTGCTTATACTTTTATACTGATACTGTGTAACTTCAGAATATGTGAGACATTCTATTCAAAGACAAGACAGGAGATTGAAAACATATTCGGGACTGTTTGGAATATGTAATGAACTAGTTACTGTAACTGCATTCATGATTTAAAGTAAAAGCATGGGTACATTAGCCTTCCTCTAGTTTAAGTTACCTGCTGTCAACCATTCTTTGAAAATAGTAAATGGAAAATTCCCAAACCATTCATGAATTTAAAGTGTATGTTACTCTGAGTAGTGTAATAAACTACACATCACTCTATGAATCAATCTTTTATTCAAGAACTACATACCATTAGGTACTTAGCCATCCTAGCTACCAGAGGCACTGTGGTGGTTTCCTGGGGCTTATGTTCAACTGTATTACTGTCACAAGAGAAACGATGATAGCAATTCAGTTAGGACAAAGAGAAGCTGTGAAATGCTTACTTTAAGTAAAAAGATAAAAGTTCTCTACTATGTCAAAGATGAGTATATATAGGAAAAATAGTATATAGAATATTCTGCACTAACCATGACATCAGGCATCTACAGGGGGGGTTGGAACATATCCACCTCTGCAACCAAAAAGAGGAGGGACTACATTATTCTAATGGAAAGAGCAGGCAGATTAGAAGACATTCCTAGACATTTATTGAAAAGATATTTTTTAAAGTATTATTTTTAAATATCAGAAATTAAGATCTTGGAATTCTCCACAATAAAAATCTCAGAAGACAATAGATTAAATGGTAAGGATCTTTGAGTGCTTGCTAAGAATGCATGTCTGAAGGCCAAGGCGGGAAAATCACAAATTCATGGGCAGCCTAAACTTGAAAATGAAAACCTTCCCTAAACAAACAAAACAAAAGATTACAGTGGTTTCAAGGGAAAATTTGTCTCAAACCCTTTTTATGTTGTATTATATTTTCATTGATAAAACAATAAAATCATTATGAGGTAGACAAAGTTCTTTGAAAAATAATATGTATGGACTCTTAAGATTTATTTTTTTTATTTTAATTGTGTGTATATGTGTGTGTGTATACACATGAGTGAAGATGCCCATGAAAGACAGAAAAGGTCTTTGGACCTTCTGGAGCTGGAGTTGCCTATACAGATGCCCAACATGGATACTGAGTACCAAATTTAGGTTTTCTGAAATCTCACTACACATTCTTTTGTCATCTTGCCAGCCCCAGATGTGGGAACACTTATAAGCAATGCTTTGCTGTGTGCCCCAACTGCAGCAATAATCACACATGATGTTGTAAGTGAGTACCAATAATATAAACTATAAACCATAGGAAATTTGAAATTGTGCTAAATATAAAGAATAATAAATTATTTTATTGTATTTCACTATATACGAAAGGATTTACACAATAATACCATTATTTTGTTCATGCATGTTAGAATTTTCAGTTTTGTTCTGTTTATTCATGTAGATTATTACGCATTAATTTGACTTTACAGATATACTTTACAAAACAATCACAGGTATGTTTCATTTCAAAGAATAATTAAATGTCAAATATAATCTAAACTCACATTATATTATTAAAAAATGGACAGTCGAAGATGAACCACATAAAGAAAGGCTCTTTGCCCTCTGCTGGTGACTGTAAGTAAGCAGGGTTGGGGTTCTTCATGTCTGTAGTCTGTGCTTCATCTGGATTCTGCTCCAGGTTGCTACGCTAAGTCTAGTTGGCAGCAGACTTTTCCTCTAAGATTTGAAGAGCACCCAAGTAAGCAATATGGCAGTACTCAAGCCAGCTTCCATCCTGCCCCTGTTGTTCAAAGAAAGAGACATAGACATCAGTACTTAGCCATTCCCATTGCCTAGTTTGAATGGTGGGTTGACTGTGGAGTCTTGAAGGAAGCAGAAGGATGCCTTTTTTTGAATCCTCACTAGGTTCCCATGACCTAATAAGAAAATTCTCCATTCCTTGAAAGCAGACATCTAAACACTATAATAAAGTCACAGCCCACCACCAAAGTCATCATGAAGTCATGGCCCCACCCAAGCCCACCATCAAAATCATCATAAAAGTCATGACCCCACCCAAGCCCACCACCAAAGTCATCATGAAGTCACAGCCCCACCCAAGCCCACCACCAAAGTCATCATGAAGTCACAGCCCCACCCAAGCCCACCATCAAAGTCATCATGAAGTCACAGCCCCACCCAAGCCCACCATCAAAGTCATCATGAAGTCACAGCCACACCCAAGCCCACCACCAAAATTGTTTCATGAACCCAGAACACTGTCTGGAAGAAAGCACTGACTCCAAAAATATTTTATGGCCCTCCTAACAGAAATATTCCTGTCAGCCTTACTTCAAAGTGAAGCTTTTTAAGTAAAATACCAGAAAATGAGAAATGCCTATATCTTACTATGTTCTCAAACTATGGCTCAGGACTACCATTATAGTCTATGGACTCTGGAGTAATCTATTCAGCAACTTGGGGGATACATCAGAGTTGTAGGCCTAATGATGCCACTGTGTCTATGAGCTCCCCTAGTTTGGAACACACAGGTGAAATGTGTAGCTTTAGAAATGAAAAAAAAAAAAATTCCACATAGATTTTTCTGCCCTACCAGGCAGTGACAACAGTTCTAGAAAAGACCCTGAAATTTCTCCTCTGTACCAAATTTGTCAACTGAAAACAACTCATTTTCTCTGGGAAAATGAAGAACTCTTATCCTATCGGTTACAAGGATAATATTTTCATATCTGTCCTTGGTGGTATGAGAGGCAGCTGAGCCTTGACGATGGATAATCATAGCATACTCACGTGCCGCATGCAAGTCTCGTCGCGGGTCCAGGTGTGGATCACTTCCTGGGGAAATGAGCAGCACCCGCCACACCTGCACGCAGTCAGTCATTGAGTCACCTTCTGCTTTATTGTAAATGGAATTTTTAAAAAGAAGATATTTTTAAACCTGGCAGGTATACAATTACTGCCACTTTATCAAGTATTTCACCTCAATGTGGCCATGACTCTTAGCCACACAGTAGTCTGCTTGGCCAGATCCTATAATAATGTACTAAAGACACCCCGCAATCAGAAATATATAGCACCCTACAGGCCTCCGAACACATATACAGCCTATAAGATAGTATAAAACTATGGACAAGAGTTGGCTGCGAATTCATGTTTAAATATCCAACAAAATAATAATTCTACTTTTATACAAACTATCAGTGCATACAAAACTATGGAGCATTCCCCAGTTCTGTTGGAAAATCTTGCTGGTCAGAGATCACAGTCTGTCGTGACCTGGCAGCTTTTTCCAAAACTCAAGGACATAGGAACTCCCTCCTCAGGGAGACTTCCTGCTTTCTACCTGCCCCTGGACCCTGGAGAACTGACCTTATCTAAAAGCTGTCTCTAATCCTGGTTGCCTGATTTATCTTTAGCATGACCCTTGTCAATTCTCTGCTAGAAGCCCCTGCTATACATAGGGTTACTAAGATTTATACTAGGAGTTCTACTATAGAACCCCACTGCCTCATACAAAGCTTTATGATAGGAGCATGCCACTTAATTCAAATTAGGTGATGTCTCAACCACTGTCCCCAGTGTTTATATTCCCCTTTCTTTCTGGAATAAAACAGAGTTACAACACTTAAATCCTCTCCCCAGAGAGCTGGCTCCACTGACTCACGAGCCACCCTACCCTGTTCCCTCGCTTTGGCTTTCTACCGCCTCACTGAGGTGGCTGGCAATTGGAGAAAGAAGTAGACCCACAAGCTCATTTGTGAGACTTATATTACCTTGCTAGAAAATTTGATGATGACAGTGTGAAAAAAATGGAAATTATGACTCACTCTAGCTCACGACTATAGGCGCTAAACCCCATAGAATCATAACAAAACACAACCAGCAAAATATAATGCATCATATAAAATAAACATGGTGCACTCAAGAGAAGTCAATTGGAAAAGCTACCAATGACATCTCAGTCCCACCGAGACACAAGATGAAGACTTGCTTCTAATTAGCTTATTTAGCAAGTTCAGTACCATGCATAGACAAAGAAGAAATACAAAAACAGAATGTATTGGCAAAGGCATTTCACCCCATGGGAAACTACAGATAGTATAAACTCCACTGCCTTGACCAGAGCACAGCAATACCTGTGCAGCTTCCAAGACTCCATCCAGTAAGAGAATTGTTGATTTTGACAGCTGGAGATATGCTTGCTCATAATGAACTACTAAGGTAGATATGAGCCATAACAGTTCCTGCTGCATGCTGGGTGGTGCTGGTGCACGCCTTTAATCCCAGAACTCGGGAGGCAGAGGCAGGCGGATCTCTGTGAATTTGAGGCCAACCTGGTCTACAAGAGCTAGTTCCAGGGAAAGCTCCAAAACTACAGAGAAACCCTGTCTCAAAAAAATCAATCAAACAAACAAACAACAACAACAACAAAAAAAAAACAGTTCTTGTTACAACAATTATTCTCACAACAGATGAGAAAAACAGATATATATCTCAGGGAAGGAAAAACATATTTGGTGAAACATTTGTTTTTGATTAGATACTTGCCCTTTTAAAGAATGTAGAACATGACAAAAATGTTCAGTTCCCATATCTATAGGAAGCATTTATTTAAATAAT